ATTTTACCTTTATTGTCTTAAATGCTTCATGGTCTAACATTTTAAAATCTTCTAAAGACTGCCTTATTGCAGAGAGGGAGGAAGGAGAAACTTTAATGTGGTTATTTGAGTGACAGCATATGAAGGCCCAGGCTAGAGTGTAAGCCCTTAGAAGTGGCAAGGAAGAAGCAGATCAAGAGGTGTTAAAGAAACTCCCACAATATTAGGATTAACTGAAAAAGATGAGTTTTCTATTTGATTCCAAACACAAATACCTAACAAGTAACACCTAAAACCAGGAGTTTCTAGACTTCTGATATCACATCCATCTAGGCTTTTTAAAAAAAGTTTGAGCACTTATCCCTAATATATGTATATTTGTTATTTATGTACATGTACTAATACTATATATATTATGAAACATAAAAATACATCTAAAAAGGATAAATATAAAATAATTTTTAACATTGTTAAAACTGTAATGACACTAGTGTGATTGAATATGCTTTATTTTTAAAAAATTTTATCACTTGGTCACATAGTAATTCAGTCTAATTTTAAGTTCAGTATGTTGATACTTAGTTTTAATAGCTGTCATAGGTGAAAAAGATACCTTTGGTAGATCCTCATGGAAAAACTTCTGTTTCTAAATTATGACTCTCAGTTTTAAACGCCTTTAATCAAATACACAGAGTTTTATTGAAATTTGAGTGCTAAATTTCCAGTGTTCCTGAAGTTAGTGTTTCTTGAATACTAACCATTTTTAACAAATGAATTTAACATTAAAATGCTCCAGTTGAAAGATTTTTCAAGAGAAAATTCTAATTTAAACTTTTTAATGACATAGATACAAGCATTATAAGAGGCAGTGATTTTTGGCAACAATCATGTAATGATGCAAACACTTCCAAACATTCATTTTAAATGATTTTCTTCATAAGAACTTTCTTTTGAAAAGCAGTAACTTTTCCATTGTCATACTGTCCTCTTTATACGGGCAAACTCAGAACATTTATTTTTCAAAAACATCAGGTAAATACTCCATACAAACTTACTCACAGAAAAGAATTGCAAAATTGTGATAGTCTTTTTCTAAAAGAAAACTCATAACATCTTTAAATTTTACAACTTTTTGAAGTGCTTTGCCCTAATATAACGAATGAAAATGTAATAATAAAAGATATCGTTGATCATTCTCATCTCATTTAAAGTATTGTAAATATTTTATTGCATTTTAAAGACTTTTTATAAAATTAACCACATTGAAGACCTTTTGTATTTTTGCTTTGATTTGCTACAATAACTTGCTTATGAATGAATAAGACTGTTATTCTATAATTTTCCTCTGAAATTTGCATTTCATTAAAAGTAAGACATTTCATAGTGCTTCTATTTGTACATATTTCCATAAAATCCTATTTTTATTAAAAAAGCATTTATTATTGAGAATATATCTTTGGTATACCTTTCCTTTCCTGACTCTGTTAGAAGAAGCTTTAAAGTACTTAGGAAGCAAGATGTTAACACAAAATAATGCAAGGCCTTTCTCTTATATGATAAAACACCAGAAGAGTGGACTGGTAGAGATTTTCAATACTGCAGGAGAAGGAATTAAATTTATTGTGGATTGAGGTAGCTAGCGGAGGCTTCTCCGGGAAAAGCGGGACAGTGGAAAGATAGTTAGGAAAGGATTTAGTTAGGTTCACAGGAAGGTTTAGATAGGTTTATAGGAAGTTGTAGGATGAAGAGCATGATGTGAGAAAAAGCATAGGTGAGTCTGAGAGATATGGAAGAGACCAGGCTGCAGAAAAGACTTCCTGAAGTGTAACCGATAAATGAATGAGTAGGTAGGTAAGTCCAGAGGTCCTTATGTATGAAATTGAAGCATTAAGACTTTCATCCTGTGATAAGTTGTCGAAGGGTTCAGATTAAGTATGTAGAACAGCCAGAACACTGATCTGCAGTTTCACAGAGATGTTCCGTGGCCAGCACGAGTTTAGCAAAGTAGTGAGTTCATGGAAGAAAAATCTTCTAGAACAAAACATTAAACCCACACCACATGGATTCTAAAAGAGCAAGGAAAGGAGTTGTGTTTTCTCTACCTTTGGCAATGACACAAGGTTGAATGGAAGTTTCTGAGGGAATTATATTTAGCACAATGCAGTGGGTATCAGTGACAACAGACAACTTAATAAAGGATTAGGTTTATATACAGGCCCAAATCTTTAAGTAGACATTCTATAAAATACAATATGTATATACTCTAGGGAAGATAAGTTGCATATTCTGCAGTGATTTCAGTGCTTCCTTTTTCACTTTGGAGGCTTTTAGATTGAATATCATCCAAAATAGCCATCATACTATTTAAGGAAGGAGGAGCCAAAAGATACTTACATACTTACTTGTTTCCTTTCATCCTGTGTCTTTTTAAATAGGCCAAATGAAATGTTTGTTTCATCTCTATTTCCTATCCAGAGCTATTTACCACAGAAGTGGTCTCCAAAATATGGTGTACTTGACTTAAGAAGTGCACACACAAAAAACAAAACTCGTATTTATAATTTGTATATTAGAAAATTTAACTTAAGCTAATTTACTAATTTTTAATGGAAGGATTGATGGAAATATAAATATATTATTTATAGTATAAACATTTATGAAAGTACATACTTACTGTAGGAGGTGCAGTCAAAAAGTATGCCAAAATCCACTATGGGGTAGGGGTTATTAGATTTACAGATGATCATCAGGGCTTTCCCCTAGAAATTTTGATTCAGTAGGTTTGAACTGGGGCCTGGAAATCTGTTATTTAACAAGACCTCCAAGTATTTCTTATTTTCAGACAAGTTTAGGAAATCATCAATAGACCTATTTCACCATATCTTAACTTAGGCCTAAGTCCAGGAGTTTTAAGTCACGCAGTACTAATGGCTGCATGAGTGATTGGTGTCTCACTTACCGTAAGACAGCTAGGAAGATGGGTTGTACAAGGGCCCAGCAACAGAGCTAAAAATAAAACTCCCCAGGTGATTCAGGGGTTAGCATCCAGCTCATCTGATTTCTTGTGCTTTCATTGGATCAAAAGCCAGCTTGAATTTTAGAGGCACCAATATGTGTGTCTAGTGTAATTCAGAAGTTTGTTTACCTTGAGGTTTGAAATTGATGATTGTTTTTAACCATGAAACTGTTGCCACAGATAATTACTGTGTTCCATGTGTTTGAAAAAGCATAGCTGATCAATAACTTGATACCTTATTTTTATGAATGCTATAACATGCTGACACATGGAAATGTAGATATTAATTTTATACTGAGGCAATTGGGTGTCCTAAAATAAAATATTCAAAATTTTAAAAAATACTAGAATAATAGCTAGTAGCATTTATTAAGTGCTTACTACGTGTCGGGCACCATATCAAGCACTTTTCAATCCTGTATATTATTTAATCCTCACAACAGTCCTATGAAAGTGGTGTTTTTAGTATCCTTTTTGCAGAGCAGTTAACTGAAGGAGCACAGAGAGGTTAAGTAACTTGCCCATTGTTTATAGGGTTTTTGTTTGCTTGTTTGCTCATTTTAATTTGGGAATGTTCTAAATGACTTCTAGAATGACTTAACGATCCTTTGACTGAATAATTATCATGAAATTTGATTTCTTCTACTGCCTCCTCCTATAAAAAAACATCTTGTATATTTTTAACAAGGAATGAGAAGTGACATAAAGATGTCATTTTGGAACGTTCAAGTGAAAGAACATGACAGTTTAATAAAAGTGAAGTGTTTATTGTCACTTTGAGTATGTAGCTTGGTAATTTATCTGATAAGTAAAATTTGTAAATATACATAATTGTTATATCCTGAAGCTTTGGTTTAAAACTGTTACTAAGTTTTTAATATCAGGGATTTTTTTGAGCACAGAAAGAAATTCTGGCAATTAATTATTTGTGTTTTAACTGATGTGCAATTTATTCAAATTTTTAACATTACCAATTTAATATCTAGTTTTTTCTTAAGGCTTTAAACTCAAGTTATGCGTTAAAAAATAAATCTATTCATACCTTCATTAGACCTTCAGTTAATTTTTTTAAATTACCAAATGAAATACCCTGAAACATTTTAAAATGCAATACTGAACAAAGTATATGACAAATCAAAAAAAGCATAATCAAATAATTTAATCTTGCAAATATAATAAAATCAATTTATAAATTTAGTAAACCAAGTTCTCCTAAATATTAAACATTGCTTACAAACTACGCTGCTGTCACGTAATTCACATTATAATCACAAGTCTAAGATAAGATTCTCTAAAAACATTTCAAATATCTTTTAAAAAAAAATCCCAGAAAATGCATAGACAAATTATCAGTTAATGCCCAACTTATCAATACATTTTATCTTAAACCTAATGCAAAGTCTTCATGTTATATGTTGGATTCATTCCTTCAGCCTGTTTTTTCTTCCTCCCAAGACTACAAATCTACTTGTACACAAACAAAGTGGAATAGAATTTCCATCTAGCAGCCTTCTACCACAACTAAGATTATATATACATTTGGGATCAGGGCAGGGCCCCTATATCTGTCTACCTGCCAACCAATCTGCATTGGACCCTCCACCCCCACCCCCACACCCTTGTTGTCAGGCTCTTGCCTGCTGTTGTTAACAGAAACTTTATGATCCCTCACATAAATTTAACTGATCATTTAAATTTTACATTTTTGCAACCTGATTCTTTTCCTACAAATGACATCCCTTAAGTTTTTCCCTTAGGTTACACTTCATCCCTATTATAATGGGAGTTTCCTAAGTCCAATTATGTACAAACTGTGTAACCTTTGGCATTCAAGTCTATTTGTGTACTAATAGGGTTTGGACACCCTACTTAGGTACTTAGCAACACTTTCTCTTTTATAATTTAATAGCCTCACTGGCCATCAGTCATTTTATTGACAATGATGATCAAGTTTAGTTTTTAACCCCTTTAAATTCACAAAGCCAAAATGATTTTTCTCTCCTAGGAATGCCAGAATCACCTCCGCAGATATGGAAATGTGAATCTGGAACTGGTGACTCGAATCATTAGAGATGGTGGCCCATGGGAAGATCCAGTGTTGCAAGCTGTTCTTAAAGCCCAGCCAGCATCTCAGGAGATAGGTACTTCAGGAGACTCAAAATCCAAACCAACATTTGTGAGAAGCGAACACAATTTCATTTTCTAACTAGAGCAGTAATAGTGATTCTTCTTTATTTTATAATACTGAATAAGACTTATGTATTTTCACATGAAGTGTGTTTAATTCATTGTACTAAACCGCCCTAAGAGTGATTTTTGACACCAGACTAGGTACATTTGTTTCTAGTAATTTCCCATTCTAATGTGAATTCAGAGTGTTAACGCATTTACTGTCCAGATGTTACTTACTTACAGAGAATTCATTTGTTTTTGTCCTATCAATTATATTTTTATAATTGATTTCAGTAGGAATAGCCTTATAAAACAAAACAAAACACCCTGTGTAGGCTCATGGGATCTCCCTTATACAGGAAACTCGTTCAGTTTTTGTCACCACTACTGTGTTTATCCTGTACAGTGCCTGGTACAGAGTAGTGCTCAGTATAAGTGTTTGTTGATTAAATGAATGACCACATGACTGCATAAGTGAATGAGTGACGAATTGAATAAGTTTCAATTCCAAATACTCTAGAGCAGCATTTTCCAAACTTCATCCATTAATAGAACTTAAATTTTCTCTCCTCCCCTTACCACCTGCATACTTCTTTGACATCACCTCTTCTGAAACCTAGATCCGCAGTAGTTCCTGTGGGCCAAAATTTTCTCTTGAGGCAGGAGACTCTGTTGACTGCTTCTAGTTAATTCTTTTAAAAAATATTTTCCATATTATTCCTGAGTCACAAAATGTTTTGGATCCCTAAAACTTAGAATGTAAGCTCAGTCATGGTGAATAAGTACAAAACTGGGGAAACATTTGAAAGCATGGAGAGAGCCTTTGGAGAGCAATTATAAGGTGGCCAAATAGAACAGACAGGAACCCCTGGTTCTGGAAGCATTCAGACCATGGTCTGGTGAGAAATACACTTCACACCACAGGTTGTGCTGAGCAATTTAAGTTCTTTCCATCTGTTCCAGGCTAAGGGGTGGGGGTGGATTGTGAGTAGAGTTGAGTGGAGAAGGGGCTGTAATTCTTGGGCTTAAGAGCAAGCTGACCTCAGATACAAGTTGTGGAGGACTATAACAGGGAAGTGAGAGAAGATGATGAGGCCAGGAGAAGTAGTACAGAGCGGTGGGATGCCACTGGAGGTAGGATAAGACTAGGAGGGAAGGGCCAAGGTGTCTGTGACAGTGGTGTGGCGGTATATACCCAAGGGATGCAGAGGAGACTGACATTTGATGTGAGAGTCTGGGGAAGGAATAAAAGAGCTGAAGAGGGAGGCATTCAGAACTAAGGAGGAAGAGTTGGATTGTTGAGTAAAAGTATTGAGTCAAATATAAGGAAGGCAAGGGTGACAGACTGAAGGAAACTATGAGGAGACTGGGGACTGAGGCCAGAGGGGACAGGAGCTAGACAAAGGCAGAGCTTCCAAAGGAGTGAAAATGGGAGAAGAAAGTTTGGGCTTTTTAAAAGGAGCTTTTAGGCTTCTATGAATAGGAGCTGGAACAAACCTGTTGTGGATTGGTGTGAGGGCCGATGGCCTCAATATATGTATATATAGTCCTTCATACCTAGTCCTTCCCTACTTACACTAACATACCTCACTCTGGGAAAAGCTGCTCTAGAGCCTCCTTCATACTGATGACTCTCTAGTTGGTGATCATTAGGGTAAAGACTACTTTGAAGTCTATCTTTGCATGAACTATACAAATCAGTGTCTGCTTATCACAGATTGTAAACAGAATTGCAAGGCAAATGTTGAAGCCCAAATAAAACATCACTCATAGCATTTTAGAAGCTAATGATTAAACATACATAACTAATTAAAATACATTTGGGTTTGAAATTATGAAATATGGGTTCCAATTCCTGCTGTCACTTAATTTTTGTCCTTGGGCAAGTCATTTGACCTCTCTGAGCCTCAGTTTTATAATCTGTAAAACAAATACTGTGATACCTGTCATAAGATTGTTGTTAGGCCTCAGTATATGTAGATAAGGATGTTTGTATATTTTTAAATTGTGTAAAAGCAAGTATTTATTAGTTATCCTTAGCGATACAGGAGCATATTATTAATAAGAAGCCCTAGTTGGCACTACTTTTGACTTAATCTTTTGTTGAAAAGTAATGAGAGGTATTTCTTTTACAATTTAACTTTTTCATTAATTCAGATTATATTTCTATAATTAATTCAGATTATATTTCTATAATCTGAATTAATGTGGTTGAATTAATTTAGTTTTAATGACAAATTAGGATTTCACCTTTTAATCTTTACGGTAATGAAAATATTGGGCAGTAAGAAAATGAAGTACATAATCTTAGACTAGAAAGAAATTCCAGACCCCATGTTATTTGAAATGTATTTTAACATATTACTGAAATGAAAAAATAATTTCATGCTTTTATTCAATTTTTTTAAATTTATTTTTTAGACAGAGAAGAAATCAACAGTATTTCTTGAGTATTGTTTTGGTGTTGCTCTTAATTCCATTTTTTCAGTCATGTAACTGAATATTCTTTGCACAAATAAACTCCTACTAAGAAAATGCTGTTTAATTAAATAACTAATTAATCAGTTAGGTACTACACATTAGAGATAAAGTTTCAAACAACAGTCAGAGTTTGAGAGAATTTTTTCTTGAGAGTAATAAGAGTCTGTTTTCTTTTTAATATAGTGAACAAATACTTAAGTTCTGAAAATCCACTGTTCTTTGAACTACGTGCCAGATACCTAATTGCTTGTGAACGCATACCTGAAGCAATGGCTCTTATTAAATCTTGTATAAGTCACCCAGAAATCAGTAAAGACTTATACTTCCATCAAGCACTCTTCACATGTCTGTTTATGTCACCTGTAGAAGATCAGCTACTCCGGGAGGTATTGTTTAAGATTTTGTTTGCCTATCATCATTTTAATCTTACAAAAAAAAAGAAAAAGAAAAAGAAAAATGTAGCCCATTCTTGTTAAGTTCCTTTTACAGTAACAGCAAAGGTTTTAAGATTACATTATCTAGATATGTTCTCTTTGGCACCATTCTTTAAGCTTATGTTGAATTAGATAGAATCTGATATTAAATGATGAAATTAATAAAATGTTCATTAATAAGCATTTGAGTTTCTGGTGTGACAAAGAAGAGGTCAAATAAAAACTGAGAAGCATTATGATTTTGTCTTTTAAATAAAATAGTATTAAATGTTCATGTTTGTTATTTTGTTTTTTCAAGATAAAATAATTAATCTTTTCCTAATAATATGGACACTACCCACTTACAAGTGATGGACATTAATGAAATTAAAAGTAGTCATTGTAAACTGTAGGTGCTATATAGTAAAACTATGAAACCATGAGACTTGTTCTGTACAACATACCGTCTTTGTAGAAGAAAACTAGAAATCTATTTTTTTCTGACTGTTTAAACATTTATTGCAACTAGCTTTTTAGATGTTTTTAATGATATGAACTAATTTTTCTTTTCCTCTTATAGCATTTATTGAAAACTGATTGTAAGAGTGGAATTGATATCATCTGTAACACTGAAAAAGAAGGCAAGACTATGTTAGCCTTACAACTCTGTGAATCTTTTCTTATTCCACAGCTCCAACATGGGGATATGTACTGTATCTGGTAAGTGTTCCTAATATAGAAATTGAAATGGTAAGATGGGGAACAGAAGGAAGATTGGTTAGCAGAGTTTAGACTTTGTATTTTTTAAAAAGTTATGTGAAAATGTTGAGCAAGAAACAATAATAGTTTGTAAGACTTAAAGATTAAAAAAATGATCATATGCCAGTACCAGATAGTGTAAATGTTTAAGGTATGTGTCATAATGAAACAATTATATTTTAAATTTAGAGTGTGATAGAGTTTTTTTTTACACACAATTTAGAGCAGTTTTAGATTTACAGTAAAATTAAGAGGGAGATACAGACATTTCCCATATACCCTGCTTTCTCTCATACATAACAGTATCAGAAAGGCACATTTTTTTTTTATCAAGGATGAACCTACACTGACATATCATAATCACCCCAAGTCCAGTTTACCTTAGAGTTCACTTCTGATGTTACAGATTCTGTGGGTTTGGACAATTATATAATGACATGTATCCATCTTTATAGTATCATACAGAGTATTTTCACTGCCCTAAACATCCTCTGTGCTCTGCCTGCACATCTCTCTCCCCAGCCCCCACCTCTGGAAAACATTGTTCTTTTTTCTGCCTCCCGAGTTTTGCCTTTTCCAGAATATCATATGGGTAGCCTTTTCAGATTGGCTTCTTTCACGTAGTAATATGCATTTAAGGCTCTTCCATGTCTCATAGCTTGATAGCTCATTTCTTTTTAGTACTAAATAATATTTCATTGTCTGGATGTACCAGTTTATATATCCATTCACCTACTGAAGGACATCTTGGTTGTTTCTAAGATTTGGCAATCATGACTAAAGCTGCTGTAAAAATCTGAGTGCAGGTTTTTGTGTGAACATGTTTTCACTTCCTTTGGATAAATATGAAGGAGCACAACTGCTGGAATGTATGGTAAGAGTATGCTTCTTAGTTTTGTAAGAAACTGCCAAACTGTCTTCCAAAGTGGCTATTCCATTTCTTATTCCCACCAGCAGTGAATGAATTCTTGTTGCTCATCCTCACCAGCATTTGTTGTCAGGGTTCGGTCATGCTAATTGGGAGGTATATAGTGGTATCTCATTGTGGTTCCCTGATGACATACGAAGTGGAGCAGCTTTTCATATACTTATTTGCTCTCTATATATCTTTTTTTATGAAGTGTCTGTTGGCCCATTTTTTTTCTTTTAATTGAATTGCTTGTTTTCTTACTGAGTTTTAAGAGTTCTTTGTATGTTGTGGGGGAACAGTCCGTTATCAGATGGGTCTTTTATAAATATTTCTCTCAGTCTGTGGCTTGTCTTTTAATTCTCTAGATACTGTCTTTTATAGAGCAGAGGTTTTCAATTTTAATGAAGTCCAGCTTATCAATTATTTCTTTCATGGAGCATGCCATTGGTGTTATTCTAAAAAGGTATCACCTTACTCAAGGTGACTTAGGTATTCTCTTATGTTATCTTCTAGGAGTTTTATAATTTTGCATTTTATGTTTAGGTCTGTGATCCATTTTGAGTTAATTTTTGTAAAGGGTATAAGGTGTGCATCTGGATCATTTTTTGTGCATGTGAATGTCCTTTTGTTCTAGCACCATTTGTTGAAGAGACTACCTTTGTTCCATTGTATTGCCTTTGCTCGTTTGTCAAAAATCAGTTGACTATATTTATGTGGGTCTGTTTCTGGGATCTCTATTCTGTTCCATTTATCTACTTGTGTGTGTCTATTCTTTAACCAGTATAAAACAGTGTCTTCTTTACTTTAGCTTTATAATAAGCCTTGAAGTTGGGTTGCACCAGTCCTCCAACTTTGTTCTTCTTCAATATTGTATTGGCTATTCTGAGTCTTTTGCCTCTCCATATAAACTTTAGAATCAGTTTGTCAATGTCCATAAAATGACCTGCTGGGATTTTGATTGGGATTGCATTAAATCTGTAGATCAGATTGGGAAGAACCGATATCTTCCTATCCATGAACATCGAAAATCTCTCCATTTATGTAGTTCTTTGATTTAATTCACCAGAGTTTTGTAGTTTTCCTCATATGAATCTTGTACATATTTTGTTAGATTTATACCTAAGTATTTAATTTTTGAGGTGCTAATGTACATGGTATTGTGTGAATATCTGTGTTGTTAAACATTTGAACAATTACTTAAAAGTTATTAATAGGATATCAGAAGCATCAACTTTACCTACCAATCATGTAATTCAGAATGTGACATGAGAGTGTTTTTAGTACCTATCCTTCAAATGCTATTAGGTGAAACCATGAATAATTATACAAGATTCTAATAACTTCTGCCTCCCCTCCTCCAGTACACCCACCACCACCACCACCTTGACATTTCATTAATTCTTAAGGAAAACTAGGTTTCCTTTGTCAAACATAATAATCAGAAATGATATGGCCTATAAACATTTTTTAATCAATGCTTTTGAGTTTTAAATTCTTAAATACTTAAAACAATAGTTTGAAGGATTTAAAGCTAAACTCATTTAATATTCTTGTTTTATAGATTAAAATCTTCAGACTAAGAGAGTCAAATAACTAATTAGTAGCAGAGTTGGGTCGAGAAACTAGTGGACTTATCTTCTAGGACAGTATACTTTTAGTTCGATTATGTAAATTTTATTCAAAAGTTTATCCTGTCAGTTGGAATTTCAAATAGAGGAGGGGATCAGGAGGCAGTGATAAGACATACACTTAAGTGTTACTATTTATTGATACGTAGTTATTCCCAAACAGAATATAGTCATGATTGTTATGGTAGGTATTTTCCTATGGGGATAGGAATATTCTCTGCCCTTGGCTGTATTAAACTATTTAAACAGGATATCTTTAGTCTTTTTATTTTAATATAGTCTTAAGTAAACCGGAATCAAGTAAAGAAGAAGAAGCAGGAAAACATCTTTTCTTCTTTTCTTTGCTAACCAATTTCTACTCTTTAGGGAGGGACCTTAAAAATAGAACAGTGCCTATCTTTCCTGCTCCTGACCACAGTCACCCTCTAAGAATAGAAGCTGGGTGTCCGACTCCCAGCTGCCTAGCTGCAAAGGAATCTTTAGCCTGCTTCTCTGTCCTTTGGAGTAGGCTCAGTTGACTGTCTGCCTACTTATACCTATTTCTTCTACCTCTCCTCCATATTTCTGAATGTTGGGGTACTTTTTCTTGCTTCTGAAAGTTGATTTTAACTGTAACTTGAAGAGCAGGATTCTTTCCAGCCACAAGGTCTGTGTCTGTTTCATCTTGGCCTTTCCTCTGAACCACCTTACTCTGTCCCCCCTCTTTTAAGGATGGAACCTGATCACAGTCCAGTCTTGCTCTATCTCAAGCCAATGGAGTAAGCTACCTACCCCATTTCTCTTACCATCACTAAATAAATAATAATAACTAATATAGTAATAGCAGCTGCTAATTGTTGCTAAGTGCCTCCTATGGTCTTTGCTTTATATATGTATTATCTCATTTATTCCAACAATTTTATGGGGTAGATAATATTATGCCCAAGCCATTCAATAGTAAATAATAAAGCCAGGATTCAACCCCAGGTAGCCTGACTCACAGCCTCTACTATTAAACATTACTTACTATAAATTGGTCAAGTATGAAAATAAATCTATGTTGTAAGGATGGCTGTAGACCCTGTTATAACTTGTTCTCTGCAACTAGATAACTTGATGAACTTGATTTTATTCATACTTAGCTAGCTGGGAAATGGCGTTTGTACACCCAATTGGTGCTCTGTTTTCTAAAGGACTCTCTGTTTGAAAACATAAGCTTCATTAAACCTTCCCTTTGGTCTTCACAAAGAAGACTATCAGAGGTTTTCAGGGTGTTTTGTTTTTCTTTTTTTTCCCTTCAAAACACAGTTTACAAATAAAATCTGAGACTCCTTTTGTAAATTCAATCAAAATGGAGCTTCATAACCCTATCCTGAGATTTCTGCTTTGCCTGCTAAAAAGCTAATATCCATATTGGTAGCCCTCTCCTGGCAAATCTGTTGAGGTCTTAGTATTACATTTTGTTTGCCAAGTTTCCTCCTGAATTAAGAGACAAAGGGAAGTAAGATCTCTCTCATCAGAAAAGAGAAAAAGAATAATATTGTACCTTAAGAATGTCTCTTTAAGGAGTCTTAATTTTTTGGAATAAGTTGGAAAATATATTCATTTCTAAGATGTTAAACATTCATTTGTGTAATATTGAATGGAATACTTTCCCATAATTCTCAGCTTACCATTTTTGTCTTTAAATCAGTTGCAGATATGCCACACCTCTTCAAACAATGTTGATCTGTTTGCCTTCTTCCATCCATATCCGTGTGTTCATAATACAGCCCTTACTTAGAATAGCCATCTTTTATTTCACTCCATGTCTGTCTACATTTCCTTTTAATATATTTCCTTAAGAGGCTTCCTATAAATGCTTTTAGCATTTAGGAATAAATTTTTTTTTCATATTACTAACAAATATTTATTGAATAAATCTCATTGCTTGGTACGATTAAGATTTAAAAATGAGTCAAGAATACAAGAAACTAATTTTTTATTAAACATCAATGTATACCAAACATTTTACCTAGATGTTTTCACTTAGCTTTCTTAATTCTTTTTATGTATAAGAAAACTGTGGATAAGAGATAAAAGTCACACAGCTAGTAACAAAATGAGGTTGGAATTTATGCTAGTCCATTTGCAAGTGATAGCATCCTATGTCTAATTTAGGGAAAATGTAGTATGGGTATACCTTGGAGATATTCCAGGTCCAGTTCCAGCCACCGCAATAAAGCGAGCATCACAGTACAGAAAGTCATAATCTTTTTACCCATGGAGGGTCTTGCCTTCAGTTTGTAAAAAATGCAACATCTGTGAATTGCAGCAGTGAAGTGCAATAAAACGAGTTATGCCTACATTTATTGAAAGGATACTGGGGTATGACATGAGCCATAAAAAGGACAGGGATACACTTGGTCCTTAAAAGAGAAGTGCTATCTGGGACACTGAGATTGTTACGATTTTAAAAAAATTTGCCCCTCTTTTGTGTCAGTTGGTTTCAGTCTCTCCCACTGTATAACAGAAGGAATGCCAACAGTCTCCAAGCTTCATAGTTTATTGAGAACATTCCAGGGACTCTGACTGGGGTCAGTTTCCTATTCCTAAACTAATATCTTAAGGAGGGTGTTGAGGAGGGTCACATAGGAGACATAGCCACTGGGGTTCCTTCTAACCTTGTATATTAGGGCTATTGCCAGAAAAAGGTGCCTCACTGTAAACTGGGCAGTGCCATGCCAGTTACTGTATAATGCCTTATTGATAGGTCTCTCATTCCCAATCTCTTGTTTTTGCCACTACTTCCACTACACAATGTGTCATTGAAGAGATGTATAATGTATTAATAATTGGGGAAATAGGGCCTATAAAATAAAGAAAGGCATGAAATCAAAAGAGGCATAAGATCTGTTCTGAAGTAGTTACCACTTTAGTTTGGGATATTCATGAAGAAGAGGCCTTTGATACAGACTCTGAAAAAGATAAGCTCACGTTAGAAATAAAGAAATACTTTCCAAGTAATCAGCATAAACAAAATGAGAATAAATGAAGCAAATTAACTGATAGTTAGGAGACCAACCTAGAATAGTGTCCAGGATTCAAGTCCTAATGCTTCTGATTCCAAAACATGTTTCTTTTGCTATTGACACTATACCACATATTGAATAAGCTGGAAACATTGGGGTATTTTTTTAAAAGATTTTTATTAAAATATAGCTAACATACAATATTGTATTAGTTTCAGGTATACATAATAGTTATTCTGCAGTACCCACCTAGCACTATACAGACTTATTAACACATTATTGATTATATTTCCTATGCTAAAGAAGTGATCAACATGATAAGTCCAGCAACCATCTGATACTGTAACAAGCTATCACAATATTATTCATCTTGTACTCCCTTTTAAAATTTTTCAGAGTTGGCATTCAATATTATTTTATATTAGTTTCAAGTGTATAGCATACTGGTTAGACACTTACATAATTTAGGAAGTGATTCCCCCTGACTAGTACCACCTGGCAATATACAGTTATTACCATATTATTGATGCTATTCCTTGTACTTTACATACCCCATGACTATTTTGTAACTACCAATTTGAATTTTTTAATCCCTTCACTTTTCATCCTCTCCCCAACTCCCCTCCATCTATCACCCTCATAAATCTAGTACCCATCTGACACCATAGTTATTACAATATTATTGACTATGTTTCTTATGCTGTACCCTACATTCCATGACTACTGTGTAACAACCAATTTGTACTTCTGAATCCCTCCCCCTTTTCACCTACCCCCAAACCCCTCCCATCTGGCAACCCTCAAAATGTTTTCTGTATCTATGAGTTTGTTTCTGTTTTGTTTATTTTGTTCTTTAGATTCCACTTATAAGTGAAATCATATGACATTTATCTTTCACTGTCTGACTTATTACACTCAACACAGTCCACTCTAGGTCCATCCATGTTGTTGCAGATGGCAAGATTTCCTTCTTTTTTATGGCTAACATTCCATTGTATATATGTACCACCTCTTCTTTATCCATTCAGGGACACACATCCAGGTTGCCTTCATATCTTGGCTTATGTAAATAATGCTGCAATGAACATATAGATGAGCATGTCCCCTTGAAGTAGCATTTTGGGTTTGTTCAGATAAATGCTTAGAAGTGGGATTACTAGGTCCTTCTTTGTCTCTTGTTATAGTCTTTGTTTTAAAGTCTATTTTGTCTGGTATAAGTATTACTACTCCAGCTTTTTGTTTGTTTGCTTCCATTTTCATGAGATTCATGAGATATCTTTTGCCATTCCTTTACTTTCAGTCTGTGTGCATCTTTTGATCTGAAGTGAGTCTCTTATAGGCAGCATATTTAAGGGTCTTGTTTTCTTATTTATTCAGCTCCCCTAGCTTATGATTGGAGCATTTAATCTATTTATATTGAAAGTAATTGTTGATGGGTATGTAGTTATTGCCATTTTATTATTCATAATTTTGATATTTTTTTTCTATCTTAAAGAAGTCCCTCTAACATTCCTTGTAATTCTGGTTTGGTGGTGATGAATTCCTTTAGCTTTTTATTGTCCGGGAAGCTCTTATCTGTCCTTCGATTCTACATGATAGTATTGCTGGGTAGAGTAATCTTGGTTGTAGGTCCTTACTTTGCATCACTTTGAATATTTCTTGCCAATCCCTTCTGGCCTGCAAAGTTTCTGTTGAGAAATCAGCTGAGAGTCTATAGGCTCCCTTGTAGGTAACTAACTGCTTTTCTCTTGCTGCTTTTAAGATTCTTTCTTTGTCTTTAATCTTTGGCATTTTAACTATGATGTGTCTTGGTGTGGATCTCTTTGGGTTCATCTTGTTTGGGACTCTCTGCACCTCCTGGGTTTGTATATCTAGTTCCTTCGCCAGGTTAGGGAAGTTTTCTGTCATTATTTCTTGAAATAGGTTTTCAATTCCTTGCTCTCTCTCTTCTCCTTCTGGTACCCCTATAATGCGAATGTTGGTACGCTTGATGTTGTCCCGTAGGCCCCTTAAACTCTCCTCAAGTTTTTGGATTCTTTTTTCTTTTTCATTTTCTGATTGGGTGTTTTCTGCTACCTTATCTTCTGCATTGCTGGTTTGATCCTTTGCTTCATCTAATGTCCTCTCGATTCCCTGTAATATATTGTTTATTCCCGTCATTGTATTCTTTATTTCTGACTCGTTCTTTTTTATGCTTTCAATGTCTTCGTTGTAGTTCTCCTTGAGATCACTGAGCATCCTTATAACCAGTGTTTGGAACTCTGCATCTGGTAGATTGCTTATCTCCATTTCACTTAGTTCTTTTTCTGGAGCTTTATTCTGCTCTTTTATTGGGGACATGTTCCTTTGTCTCCCCAATTTGGCTGCTTCTCTGTCTTTGTTTCTATGCATTATGTAGGTTTGATATTTCTTCTCTCCCAATCTTAGTAGAGTGGCCTTATGTAGTAGGTGTGCTGGGGTGCTCAGTGGCACACACAGTCTTCCTGGTCACCTGAGCTGTGCACTCCAGGTGTGTCCCCTTTATGGGTTGTGTGTGCCCTCCTCTTATAGTTGAGCCTTGGTTGCTGTTTGTATGTCAATGGGAGGGACTGACTCTTTGGCTCATTGGTCGTGATACTGGCTGTGACTACAGTAGAGGAGTGTGGTGCAGGGGCTGACCCTACAGAGCAGGATCTGCCTCAGCAGGGCTCTGGTGCCCGCCCAATCTGCCCCTTGAGTGTGTCATTCTTGGAGGCGGCTGGGTGATGCTCCAGCTCGTTTAGAAGCTGGGTACTAGGGGCGCCAGCTCACCAGGGATCCTTGGAGGGGATCCGCTGCAGGTTAAGTTCAGCCACAGCCCGTGCCCTACCCTGGGCTACCAGGTAGGAGCCACAAAAAAATCCGCAGATGGCTGCTGCCCGTGCCGTGCTTAGAAGTGCCTCGAGAGGCCAAGCTGCAAACTAAGGCCGCCTGCCATAGTGCAGGGCTTACGGCTGCTCAGCACTAGCTCTATTACAGGACACACTCAAGCCAGATGCTGCTTGTCAGGTTTCTGCAAACCTTTGAGAGATCCTAGGAAAGTCTGCAGTATGAGATAAGGCAGGTGGTTTGTACAAAAAAGCCACTGGAAGAAGCTTTAGTGTATCCCAAAGTTGGGCAGGGGCGGGAATCTCAAATCACCAGGGCGTGGCCAATGCACAGCAGAGACTCAGATATGGCAGCCGCCTGCATCTGCACACTGGGAAGAAGGGAGGGCTCAACAAAGAAACAATGGCCTTAGCCAGCTCCTCCATCCAGCAGAAAGCTGCCCCTCCAGCCCCTGTCCCAAGCCAGACTACTTAGTTCCCCACCATATGGCCCTGCTGCCTTTTCAGCTGCTGCCCCAGCACTGCTGCCCCAGCTCAGAGTAAGTCCTTGTGCAGTCCCTTTAAGAGATGTGGCTGGAACTCCAGCTGCCCTCCGTCTCACTCAGTCACAATCTCTGGTGTTTTTCACAACTAGAAATTATGGGGATTTCTCTCCCCGGCACTGGAACCCTGGGTAGGGGTGGGGCTGGGACCTCTCGCTCCTCAGGGTGGGGGGAACCTCCACAGCCGAGATATCCCTCCCGATTTTTAATGATCACATGCAGGTGTGGGACCAGCCCGTTCCACGTCTGTACTCCTCCTACCAGTCTCTAGATGTCTTCTTCTGTATGTTCTTAGTTGTAGGGCTTTGGTTTAGCAAGGTCTTAGGGGATTCTCAATGACGGTTGCTTGTAGTTGTAATTTTGATGTTGTCATGAGAGAAGGTAAGCACAGCATTTATCTACTGTGCCATCTTGACTGGAATTTGGAAACATCAGTTGAGCAACCCTGTAGAAGTACATACGTAAAATTAAAGGGGTTTAAGGTGGTTAGCATTGAGAAAGAATGGTATGGCTGTGGGGGCAAATCTAATTGAAATGTAAAGCCTATGGAAAATAATCAGGTTAGAACCAAACAGAGGAATGTTTAGTGTCATTGACTGATTTAGGAAAAGATAATTTTACAGGAATATCATTTATTTTAAGAGGGATAAGGTGATAGAAAGCAATCGAAATTGAAATATACCCAGACATGGAAATTGGTAAAGAAGTCAGAGCTAGAGATTTGGGAGCAAGGTGTGAAATCCAGTGAGTTTTCTAAGGGATCATGTGTGTAAAAAAAAGTGGGTGGTAGACTAACACTTACGAATACCACACAGCTAGTACAAAAAGGAGGTGGAACTTTGGTTTTACTTCCAATGTGTTGCTTGCCATCATTTTGTTTTCTGTATTAAGTAGACTGCACCTTTGTGATAGTCAAGCTGCCCTTAGATTTAATAGTTGTATGTGCTGGGCTCAAAGTACATTACTCTCAGTAAATCACTTTTTTTTTTTTAACATTTTCATCAATTATTTTAATATTTTTTAGATTGTGATGCTTTATGTAACTTTAATGACACATTAAAAGAATTCTAATTTACTAAAATGTGATATCCAAATATATCAATTATCTTATGATTTTCTTTGCCTCAAAACCCACTGCTCTTAACCTGTTCATCTAATAACCTTGGCCATATTTTAGAAAAGAATCTACCTGTGAAACACTTTAAATAGTCCAGAGCTTGCCGAATATTTCAAAGTACTGCATTTTAATGGAAGAGCAGATAATCTAAAACATTTCAGAATTAGTACTGTAATATACTTACACCTTTAACCTGTAGTCTTTGGTATCTTAATATATTGAAAATAAAAATATGAACCAGTTCTTCTTCACAGAAAGTCTGCATTAACTTCTAATTTTGCAAGTAGGATATTAATTAATGGCCAAAATTTATTTTTTTAAATAGTATCATTAATATTAGTACACTGGGATTAGAATTTGTTTTGATCAAGTACTAGAGATGCCTTAGATTTGTCAGTATATGATAGAAGTCATCCCTTACCACTGCAAAATTGCAATTTCTGATCTTTTCCCCCAGATTCTATTAGTCCCATATAGGTAGCAGAAGTAGCTTGGGATTTAACATAAAATCCGTTTATGCCCACTTTGTACACATCTCAGCCAGGGCACTACAAATCAGCAAAAGATACGTAATGTCTGTATTTCAATAAACTGTATTTTTGATATTTCTCTTTTTTTCTCATTTACAGGGAGTTGATTTTCATATGGAGTAAACTTCAGCTTAAGTCTAATCCTTCAAAACAAGTTTTTGTAGATCAATGCTACCAGCTTTTAAGAACAGCAACTAATGTGAGAGTCATATTTCCTTTCATGAAAATCATTAAAGATGAGGTAAATAGGATATATTTACCCCTCATTTTAAATGAAAATTAAATGACAGTTGACTGGAACTTGAATCTCTTATGATAATCTCATATTTATTTGATTATAAAATTGCAGAGAAGGAGGAATTTAAGGCCACATTCTCCATATATTACACCCTACTCTCCCGTCAACCTCAAACTCCCAACATGGTATAGGATATACATAAATGAAAATAACTAAGAAAAGTCAGAGGAAAAAAAGTGAATTTAGTGTTACTTAAGATTTAATATGGTAACAGTTTCTTCCAAGAAGCAATTTTCTTTTTTCATATAATTAAATAAGTTTGTCACTTTTAACACTATCCTAAGTCCTGTTTGTAGAATCATAACTGATTTGCAGATGAACTTTATATATCTATAGGCAATACCCGCTCACTGTCATAGAGAAATACAGTTCATTGTTTTAAGTCTGGTTTTTAAGTGAAAAGAAACCATGAATACTGAGGCATTTTTGAAACTTAAGGATAAATTTTAAAGTGTGTATTTGAAGTAATACAAACCCATTACCTGTTTTTATAAATACTGGGTTGTCGGAAAAGTCATGACGCATTTTTGCAACTAAAAACAGAAAAAATATGTCATGACTTTTCCAACAACCCAATAGTTCTGAAGCAAGTTTTTCATGGGCCACTTGCAAGTGAGTACAATTCTACATATGACTCTTACATAGACATGAAAATGGATCTGCAGATCCTTTAACTTTTTCCCCTCAAATAGTAACAGAAGTTAGAATACAAAGATAGGAAAGATAAACCTACCCTACATTTTCACTGAATTTTTATGTGGGTTACTTTTAAGTATATAAGGAGGCATCCTTCAAAGAATATGTTTTATTTTTTTATGTATTTATGCATTTACCACATTCATTATCACATCACTCATTAGATGTATGACCATTTAGTGATCATAGTCCCATGATATAACGTTGGCAGCATTGTATCAGGCTGTGGGGGTTTTTTGGTTTGTTTTGTTTCCTATTTATTTTATTAACTGCATTAATAGCTTCGTTATTAAATAGTGAAATGTAATTCAAACGCATTGTCAAAGTTAACCTTTCTCCACACCAAAAAAGGGGAGAAAATCAAACAGACTGTGCTATAGAACACTTTTCAACATCTGAAGTGCATCAGAATCACCAGTAAAACTTTAAAAAAAATAAAGATGTATCTATATTTTTTACATACAAGTATGATTCTCATTTGCACCAAATTATTGAGACTTTGTTATAGAAAGTTTACAGTATAGGTGGAGATCAGCTAATTATCATAAAGCTTTCTTATTTTCACAAGTCTGATCAACCTAAGAATACATTATAAAAGGAAAAATTCAAAGATGAAATAAATATTAAAAATATGCTTAATTGTTTACACTCTACTTAAATATTTTTATCTGATGAAATAGATCATTCATATGCCTTGGTACTGTGAAAAGAGGCATAGACAATGCAGTATGAGTTCAGAAGACAGCACAGATGGCATATATGAAAAGGCTTTACAGAGGAAGATGCTTTCAGCTGAGTTTTGAATGACAGAAGAGGATAATACTAACATTTGTAGAAGATTTTGAATTTTACAGAGCACTTTTGCCTCGTTTTATTACTTGTTTCTCACAGCTGTCCAATGGCATTAATAGGGTAGCAGTGAAACCTAGGGGGAATGTGTAAGAGATCAAAATAATAGGAGGGACTACAGGAGGTGGAGGGTGGGGGGCATGCTGGAGATTCTAAGGGACTTGAATGCTACACTAAAAGTTGGAACTTCAGTCCATAAATAATATTGGAATCGTTAAAGAATTTCATGTAAGGAAGTATCATGTTCCCTTTTGTCCTTTGTGGTGATCCTGAAATTTTTAAACTTGGGCAACTGGGTTGATTATAACTTCATGATTCAAAAGAGAATGTAGACAGAACTTCAGAGAAAGAAAAGGAATTATTTTGAAGCAGTAAATTTTGAGTTTGTTATATCTGGCAAACTAGATGGGAATATCTTATTGTAACAGATGATTAGAAATAGGAAATTTGAATTTAGAAAAGGATTCCAAGCTGGAAATGATGGCTTTATAGGAGAAAACTATAGTCAGTGGAATAGATCTGATCCCATTAATTCTGTGAACATTTGCTCAAAGATCACTATATGCCAACTTCTATGTTAAACATAGGAAGATACAGAAAAAGGAGATGTTGTATTATTTAGGAACTCAAAGTGATTCCTAGGAATTTAAGAATTCAAAGTTATAAAACAGATAGTTATAAAACAATATATACATGCTTTTTAGAAATAAGTATTAGTTATTCTCAGTGGGAAAAATAGGGAATGTTTAACTCTACCCTAGGGCCAGAATGAATGGTGAGAAAAACTTTCAAAGGAGAACTGATTCTCAAAGAATGAACAGGAAGGAGATAGGGATTTACCAGCTAGATAAAGTGGGAGTGTGATGTGCAAAGTTAAGGTCTGCTTGTTAAGCTGTAAGGACTTACGCAGGGTTACACAGCATGTAAGGGACTAAGAAGACATGAGGATGGTAAGGTAGTCTTCCTCTCTTGTCATCTATAATGCACAATCGGCAGGCAGTATGTACACATACGTGCACACATGCATATACACACACACAATTTTAAAGACATATTACTTTTGTATCTTTCTATTTAAACAAGCATTTAGATTATTCCAAAGCACTTGAATTAGCATGGGGTAACAACAAATTCGAGTAAAAGCTGATGGAGTTATCTTTGAGTCATTAGTAACAGTTTCAAGGCTTGAATAATTTTCACGTAACTTCCAGTAGGTTCACTATTCTGATACCTTATTAAATTTTGAAAGATTGTAATTGCCCTCTTCATGTGGCTTACACTTCTCCCTTTATTTGGATATTATGTAAGTAAAAATAGGTAATATTATTTAATGCAGCTTTATGAAAAAGTTTCCATAAGCAAAGCTTTTTAAAAAAACTAGTTATTTTTTAACATAAAAATTAAGAAATGTGTTTAAATACATAAAATTTAACTCTTCAACAAAATGTGAGATTGGTACTTAAATAATAAACAGGGTCTAGATTTGTAAGAAACTTTAATCTTCATAACTTTATGAAGCAGTTTGTATTATGGTTAGTAGGGCTTGACAAACTTGAAAATTAAATAAATTGAAAGCAAAAACGCTATTTTTCCAGATTTTTCTCAAGAAAGATTTAATTATATATTTAAAAAAGGAGTTAAGGCTACCCATTGAGAAAAATTGCACATTTGGAATACTGGGTTTATTTAGCTTTCATTTCAGAGTTGTATTTTAAAAAGATATACTAGTTAATGTAATATTTTTTAAAAAGGTATTTAGTAGTAATATTTTTTCTTTTTACAGGTTGAAGAAGAAGGCTTACAAATTTGTGTTGAAATATGTGGTTGTGCTCTACAGCTGGACCTTCATGATGATCCCAAAACTAAATGTCTGATTTATAAAACAATTGCACATTTTTTGCCAAATGATTTGGAGATCCTCAGGATTTGTGCACTCTCAATATTTTTTCTTGAGCGTTCCTTGGAAGCTTATCATATTGTTGAAGAGCTTTACAAACATCCAGATGAAGAGTATAATGAAGGCACCAGTAGTGTTCAAAATCGTGTTCGTTTTGAATTACTTCCAATTTTGAAAAAGGGATTGTTTTTTGATCCCGAATTCTGGAACTTTGTAATGATTAAGAAAAACTGTGTAGCATTACTGAGCGATAAATCAGCGGTTAGGTTTCTAAATGAAACTACACTGGAAAAGTCTACAGGTAACCTGAAAAGGGCACTAGAACAGCAAGGTTTAGATGAAAGGCTTGACTTTCTTACATATCAGAGCACTGGAGAGCTTGATCCTAATGACATAGCTGGAGTGCAACCTAAAGGTCATAGTCACACAAAGAAAAACCTTACTGCTTCTAATGCTTCCAAAGTAGATCACAACGTCCCAAGGCATCGGTGTGTGTTATGTAACAAGGAATTCCTAGGTGGTCACATTGTAAGACATGCTCAGGCTCATCAGAAAAAGGGCAGTTTTTCATGTGTAATATGTGGTAGGAAATTTAGAAACAGAGGACTTATGCAGAAGCATTTAAAGAATCATGTTAAGAAAATACAGAGACAGCAGATTGCTGCAGCTCAACAGGAGGATCAGGAAATCCCTGCTTTGGAAGAAATAAATTGTTCCAATTTCATTTCATTTGAAAACGGGAATTCTGAGAAAGATTTGGAAGTGCAGGCTACTGATGTTTGCAGTGATGGGAACCAAGAAGTCATCCCTGTGCATGTGGCGGAATTCACTGAAATTCCTGTAAGTGTATCAGAAGATGTTACTGAAAACGTTACTGAAAATGGCAGTCCCGATACTTCTTTAAATAATGTATTGGAGCCTTTACCTCTATGTGAGGATGACTATGAGGAGGAAGAGGATGAAGAAGGTGATTATGAAGATGATTATGACCTGAATCAGGAAACGTCAGTGCTTCATAAAATCAATGGAACTGTTTGCCATCCAAAAGACATATATGCTACAGATCAAGAAGGAAACTTTAGGTGTCCTGCCCTTGGCTGTGTCAGAATATTTAAAAGAATTGGATTTCTAAATAAACACGCAAGGACTGTACACCCAACTGATTTAAATGTGCGGCAGACGGTAATGAAGTGGAGCAAGGGAAAATGTAAATTCTGTCAAAGGCAGTTTGAAGATTCTCAGCATTTTATAGATCACCTTAATAGACACAGCTATCCAAATGTATACTTTTGTTTGCATTTTAATTGCAATGAGTCATTTAAGCTGCCATTCCAGCTTGCTCAGCACACAAAAAGTCACAGGATATTTCAAGCGCAGTGTAGTTTTCCAGAATGCCATGAGCTTTTTGAAGATCTTCCTCTGCTATATGAACATGAAGCCCAGCACTATTTAAGTAAAACACCAGAATCTTCTGCACAACCAAGTGAAACAATTCTTTGGGATGTTCTTACAGACTCAAATCCTAATCATCAGGAAAAAGACTCATCAAGTAATGAGAAACAAGCTATTAGTCTGCCAGTTTCTACTAGCAAATCAAGAAAACATTCTACAGAACCAAAGACGTGTCTAGAAAGTATGGAAAAGAAAACAGACAGTTTAGTTCAGAATGGAAATGAACATTCTGATGATACTGTTTCTGAAATAAGCTTGATAGACCAAAAGATGCCTGACATAGAGCCAAATTCTGAAAATAATTGTAGTATTAGTGATTTAGTCAATGGACATAGTGGAATAGAGCAGACACCTTTAGTTTCATCAGATCCTGCTTTGAAAATTGGTACAAATAGAATCAGGACAGAAAACGGTTCCATTTTATCCAGTGTTGTACCACAAGAACACAGTACCCTGCCAGTATCTCAGGCACCTTCCAAACCAAATGTGACGAATGAACAGACTTCATATGGCTTAATTTTATCAAAGCCATATGTCAGACCATTGCCTCCCAGTTACCTTGATGAACGGTACCTCAGTATGCCAAAACGCAGAAAATTTCTGACTGATAAAATAGATCCCTGTTCTGATCAAGATAATGTTTGTAAAAAATCAATGAAAAGATTAAGATGTGGTAAATGCCTGACAACCTACTGTAATGCAGAAGCACTTGAGGCTCACCTTGCACAAAAGAAATGTCAGACACTCTTTGGATTTGATTCAGATGATGAAAGTAAGTCTTCTATCTTCTCAGTAGGTATATCTGTAGAAAAAGAACATGCCATAGGTCTTCAAGGTTAAAAAAAATTGACATTTGTATAGCACAGATAACAAGGCACTACCCTATACATCATTTCCTTTAATCTATATAACCATTATAAGATGATATTGTTACTCCTGTTTTATAGAGCAAGCAACTGAAACTCATAGGTTAAGTAATTGGCATAGGCACAGGCCTAGGAACTTGTGGAAGCCAGAACCTGTACTCAGGTTTTTCGTACTCCTTCACTATATTTGAGGCTTTTCTTCATTCTAAGTTTTGTGTAATAAAGTTCTAGAAACAAAATAATTATGATAGTTTTTCATCTGAATGCCAGAATATAAACCAAGTGATGTTGAGCTTCTATTACAAAAACAAGTAAAAGAGACTAAAAAAATAACTGAAAAATAAAATTTGAGCAAAAGAGTTTGCCTTTCTATTGATGTCAGTATTTTTTGAATGAGTAACGGTATAAATAAACAAGAATCTGATTTAGAATTACAGTTGAACATCTATAAAATTTGAATTAACAGACATGTTCTGTTTTACAGGTGCCTGATAAAAAGTGTTTCAGAAAGATCTGTTGATCAAGCAGTAGTGTGAAAAAAGCACTACAAGAAACGCATCTTCAGTTTGCTATGTCCCTGATGGCCTTAATTTTAGAGCGGTCTCGGATTACTAAAGATGAAGACAAAGCACATTGTCTAGAAGGAACTCACAGAAGGGATGTGCTGGTTTAGATTCCAAAAGGGTTATTACAAAACTCCCAAAGTACCAGTTATCCAAGAAAACCAGTTTTAAAAAAGTTCACGATGATTGATAGCAGCATGCTCAGTTTCGCTTATGTTAGAAACATGTTCAGGCAACTTAGTCAGAAAAAGAAACCAGCTATGGCCTTACAGAAAGGAAAGTTAATCCATTATTTAAAAAGGGGATGGGTTGGTGTACAATAAACAACTTAAAAGTATTTTATGGGATTTGTTTTCTTGTCCTCCCTTCTGGTCAAACATGGTGTAAGGAATGCTACTATTTGGTTTATTATAATTTAGAAACTGATACATGAAAATATAACTTGATTTATCACCAATACTGTCCATAAAAGGTTGTAACTTCTTTCCAGATGATTGAGTAGACAGGTCAAATTTCAATGAATGGCATGCCAGCATTGAAAATAAAAAGTACAAAACAACACTGCTTAGATAGAATCTTTCACTTGCCATTTTTATAATACCAATGAGTTATATTTAAAAGGTAGCAATGTCAATTAAGTAGAAAAAACCATCAGTAACTCTGGGAAGAGATGGAAGGAATCTAAGACCATTAAAGGCTATCTAGTTGAAGGAAAACACTGAATTGAAATTCCTCAATGTGAATAATGGTATAAGCACACTGGGATATTTCTATTTGTATATAGAGTAGTGTTAGGACATTGCTTGATGATTCATAGTAAGGTCCTTTAGACATTAATGTGAGTTATCGAAGTATCGTCCTATAAAAATAACTGGCTGTAAAAAAATATGTAAGCTAATAATCAGGTCAAGAAATAATTGGTTTTATTCAATTAGGAGTTAATTATAAAAATAAGCCATACTTCTCATGCTTTCTTATTAGTGATGAATTTGGTCTGAATAGTAATGTTTTTATATATACAAAAGGAAATATTTACCAAAAATTTGCACAGCAAGAACACAATAAGATATATTGATGCATTCATTTTCCTTGATGACCAGTAATTTTCCTAAGGAAGACTGTAACTTAATAGTCAATAAATCGTTAAAACAAAAAATGTGTTTTAAAATACCCTCTCAGATGTGTTCCACTTGGACATACTCTAAAAAAGGAAGCTTAAAGACCTCTTTTTACCTAATAGCATGTTAATCTATAGCAGGGAAAAAATTGAACAAAAATGCAAAGGCGAATTCTTCAAAAACTGAGCTACTAATGTACAAATGTCAACCAAATATTCCAGTTATTCCAACTGGCACATTTTTGTTCAAAGCAGATAGATAATCTCATCAGACCCTACTGTTATAAATTTTTCGATATTAAAGCTTGAATGAAGTTACCAAGCAAGTGGGACATTTCTACTAGGGTAGCATCCAGACTTTATTAGGATTTCTAGGTCATGATAGATCAGACATCTGAGAAAAATTTTCCCAGTTTTATGAGTTTATCCTGGGCATTCACTACTATGCAATTGATAGTCATAAATCCATTCCAATCAAATTCAGGTTTTTGTTTTTTATGTAGCCTACATTAGGCTGTGGAATTTACATTTAAATAACAAGTAGATTTTTAAATTCTTTAAGGTCAACTTAAAAATGAATGTTTCCATACTTCATGATACTAAAAATATAATACTTGAGTTGTTTCAGTTCAGTCTAAAATATGTCATGTAATAAAAAGTCTGTTTGGAAACTAGTTAACTTGGACAATGACTTTGAAATATAATTTCTGCTTTGTGCATTTTCTAGAAGTTTAAAATTACAACTAAATAACTATTTTTTGTAAGTTCTATCAACATAAATCCATGTCTGCAAATTATTTTCATTCATTTTGCAGTTCATACCAAGATGTTTTAAACATACTCCACTTATTTTTTTTTTTAATTTGAGGTTTTATTTCTGTTTTGTGTTGCTAAGAAAAAACTATTTCTGAAAGACTGAGATCAAATCAGTTTATACATAACTAAGTCAAGGAATGTTTTATAAAATTCTATTTGACCACACTGTTCTAACCTATTTATATACTTCTCAAATAATTACTATTGAAAGAGTGTACATTTTATGTATGTTTTATAAAACAAACACATCAGTTTGCTTTTAGAGGATGTATACACTTCCAACCATTCTAATTTGAGATTCAAAAGAAAAGAAAACTTTATTTTTTAGATTCTTCTTTTTCTTTTCTACTCCTATTTTGAGGATGTGTTTATTTTAAATGGACCAAGTTTCAATCCTTTGTTTTTAAATAAAAATCTCCTTCAAAACAGTAAATATTAACTTTCTGCTGTTTTAATAAGGTCAAGAAAGTAGCAAATCGAAATTTTGGCTGCTCAGATATTATGGAGGAAGTAGAAAAGGAATCTCCGTGGACAAGGACACTGGTACTTTGGGCTTTAGCCATATTCTTTTTTTTTTTTTTTCTTAAACCACCAATTATATGCGTAGATAATTTATAACATTGAACTTGCGATTCTTCTCAAATCACTTGAAGGTTTGGCCCTACGCCTTTCATGTTTGGTTTAAACTGTTGTATGGATGAAAAACCTAAAAGGGATGATAGTGTTTATTTTTTAATTTATTTGGTACTGTAAAACACCTTTTCAGAATGACTAAATGCTGCATATGCATTTTGGAATTGTTAATATGTGAAAGATTACAGATTCAGCAAGAAAGGAAATTTGTGCTTCCTTGTTGAACATTAAATTATTTTACTTTGCATTTTATAAGAGTACAAATTAAAACTGAGCCATTGAACTGCAATAAATCAACAATAGTGTCTCATTTCAAGAAATTTTTTGTACTGTACATAGATTTGTTCAATAAAACGTCCTTGTTGGTAATGAAGTGTTCAATTTTATGTAGCACAATGCTTCAACAGTAATTAGACTTAAAGTATATATTAAATAAGACATTTTTATTATGTGTCATAAAAGAATGAGATATTTCAGTTAATATTACTATATTCAGATTGATTTTAGAAAACTATAATATAGAGAAAAAGAAAAATTTACATAAAATAGACCTCTTTTAAAAATTATTTTAACTAATGTCCATATGCAGGAATTGCACATTAACAGAATAGTGGTTACTAAAGTCATTTCAGGTAAATGGTTTCAGTGTGAGATAGTGCCCTCTGCAAACTTAGGTGGAAGACAAATGTGAGAGCTCTTGAAAAGCCAGACAGTGGATGGATTTCTCTACGTTGGTAATTCTTCAAAGATGAGGAGCCTCTTGGTGGAACTTAAAACAAAAAAAACAAAGACTGTGAAGTCACTTGGAAATAAGATATGAATGATGAAAATTACTACCTATAAAAGCATTTCAGTGGGAAAATGTCTAAGCCAATTAATCGGTATCTAAAAGTGAGGTCTTGGACATGAGGGCTCCTACTTGTTTGGTTCATGAAACAAGGAAAACCCCTACACTATTTGCTATAACTTGGAACTAGAAAAAACGAGGCTGCTGTAGAAAAAGTAGCTCTTTAATGTGATGAGGTAGGACTGCAAATGAAAGCGTAGATGCTGTGTTAAATACAGTGATTCGCACATATTACAAATGTTATGCTTTAAAAAACACTATGAGAAAGTTATTGAAGCATTCTAGAACTGAGATCTAGAATTCTCAGTCTGATTTATGGTCATATGATCTTAGACTATTACATAAATGTATTGAGGTCTTTAGATCAAGTTACTGGGGTTATCTACACTTTACATTTTTCTTTTCTGAAACTTGAGGAGTTCTGGGAAGCAATCAAATATTAAGTACCCTTCAAGATAAACAAATTAGGTTGTTTTTCATAGCGTAATATAAGATCCATACTGATTTCAAGAATCAAATGATAACAGAGAAGTTTGGGCTATATATCAAGATTTGAAATAGAGGCAGCAGTACATGGAATAAAAACAGTGGGAGAGAAGTTCATTCCTTGTTTATGGGTGCTGCACACAAGAGAAGAAATGCCTGCTTGCTTTGCTAAATTACTGTGTACCAGCTACTTTATATGTGTAATCTGTAATTGTTAAACAACGGCAGGTAAGAACACTGCTTTCAGAAACTAAGGCTCCCAAAGGTTAAATAACCTGAATGAAGTCACACAGCTAATAAATAGGTGGAATTGAAAACTCAGATGTGTTCTTCTAAAACCATAATGCCACAAAGTTTTCCCTGCAAATGTAGAACATGAGTGGATTTAATATATCTAAATCGAGAAAGCCAGACTGGCTTGATTTCAGACAAAAGGTGAAGTTGGCCACAGATATAGCTGACTGATGTTTCATTCTCTTCTACCAGCAGGGATTCTTAGAGTGGTCCCAGAGCAGCAAAATTGGCATCACCTGAGAACTTGTTAGAAATGCTAAATTTTGGTCAGGTTGGGGACCAATCTGCCTCTTGACAAGTCCGCCAGTTGATTCTGGTACATGCTGACATTTGAAAACCACCAATTTAAAGCAGCAAGTTTCTTTATATTTCCCTAGAAAGATATACCATTTCCCCTTAAATTCATAGAGCCTTCCTAGTAACTTGCAGTTTCCAGGAAATTTTAAAAAGTCCCCTATTAATGGACTGCTTTTGGGTGAATGGATATTTTAATAGTAAGATCTAATACCCCAAACCACTCTAATCTGGAAAACTTTTTTTCTCAAAAAGCATTAAGCAAAAAAAACTACCAGAACACGATTTAATGGAAACAGTTCAAAGAGGTGTGGGGAACAGTTGTATTCAAATTCCAGCATGACAGTTACACTTGTGGAGCCTCAAGCAATTAAGTGCATCCCACTGAACTCAGACTTCCACATCTGTTAATAGGGGAGAGCTGTTATTGCTAGAAGGTTACAAGAATAAACTGTGAAGGGCCTGATGCTGAGCCCTTACTGTTATAATTTCTCTTCATATTACAGCTTCTGTACGGTCTTTGGCTTCAGCCAAAACCAGCTATGCTGTTTTCCATGCATTTTTTCCACTACTGCTCCCTTTACCTGTAATTCTTCACCGTCTTTCTGCCCCTCCCCTTATTTTTTGCTTAATCCTTCTTGGGCATCACCACTTTCTCCAGAAAGCTTGAATCGCTCTTGAAAATTACTGATTTCTTAATTGAAATCTACTTCTCCCTGTCTCCCTCCTCTCAGGAAATGGTAACTCCCCTTGCACAAACCAAAACCTTGTAGTCATCCCTCACTTGTTATCATGTCCTCCACTCTAACTCAATCCACTACCTTCTCTCACCTGAATATTGTAGTAGTCTCCTAATTAGGCTCCCTGTCTCCTCTTGCCCTCTTTCAGTCTGTTCTTCACACCAGCAGCCCAAAATGGTCCAGCTTAAAACCAGTCAGATCATGCCATTCCAGTTTCAAATCCCCCAATGGCTTTACAACACATTCACTTATTTAAAAAATATTTATTACATACTGTGCTCTGTAATAAGCTCTGTAATAGAAGATAAAAATAAAAAAGATAAAAACCCCTGGCTTACAGAACTCATTACTGGAGGGCAACAAACATATAAGTGCTATGCAGAAAAATTAAGTGGGTAGGGAAGGTATAAGTCAGTATGGCATTGTTAGTGATCATTTTAAACAGAATGATGAAGGAAGTCCTCTTTGACAAGGTGATTATTGACCATGAACCTGAATGAAGGGAAAGAGAGTCATTCAGGCATCTGAGGGAAGACTGTGCCAGGCAGAATAGCAAGAGCAAAGGCTCTGAGGCAAGGACCTAACATGGCAAGATTAAGGAACAAATACCACTGTGACTAGTCGGAAGTGACACTGAGAAACGGGAAATGAAGACAGGTAAAAATAAAAGCCAAAGTCTATAATGGCCTGCCAGGTTCTAGGTCTGCACTATCTAATACAGTAACCACTAGCCACATGTGGCTATTAAAACTTAGTTACAATTCAAATAAAATTTAAAATTAAGTTCATCAGTTGTACTAGCCATATTACAAGAGCTCAACAGCCACATGTGGCTTGTGGTTACCATATCGGACAGCACAGAGATACAACATTTTCATCAGCTCGAAAGCACTTTTGGACAGGCGGTTCTATATCAGTGGTTCTCAACTGTGGTGATTTTGCCACCCAGGAAACATTTGGCAAATTGGAAATATTTTTGGTATCCACAACTGGGGGAAGGAGGTGTTACTGGCATCTAGTGGGTAGAGGCCAGGGATGCTGTTAGGAATCCTAAAATGCATAGGATAGCCCCCACAGCAAAGAATTATCTTGCCCAAAATGTCAACTGTGCCACGGTTGAGAAACCCTGCTCTAGATCAATCCTGACTACGACTCTAACCTCACTGCTCATTGTCGCCTCCTCCTTGCACAAGCTGCTCCAGCCTCCCGGCCTCCTTCCTACATGCCAAGCCCTCTGTTCCTTCCTCATAACTTCTACTGTTGCTTGTCCTAGACACTCTTCTGTGGTTCACGCTCCCATTTTCTTCAGGTCTTTCCTTCAGTGTCCCCTAGAGCATTCCTTGATAGCCATATAATATAGCAACATCCTCTTCGTCACCCTCCTTTTAATGTATTTTTCTCCATAGCATTTCCTGACATAGTACACAGTTTCTTATATGTTTATTGTCTTTTTCCTCCCACTGGAATGCAAGCTCCAAAGAACTTGCATTTGTTCCCAGCGTAAAGAACAGTGCCTAGCAAGTAGTTAAGTTAGGTGCTCAATAAATACATTTTATGAATCAATGAATGAATGCATGAATGAATAAGTTGGGCATGCCTTCCGTGTGGTCCTACACCAGCAGTATGAGCTTGTCATCTCTTTATTTGCCAAACTCTCAAAAGTTCCTTGAAGGCAGGCCTGTGTCATTTCTCTGAATCTTCATTACCTACCATAGTAGGCACTCATTAATGCTTAATAAAAAATGAAGAATTGGTATCTGTTTAGTAAAATACCCTAAATAACGTCCACTGGCAAATTAGATTAACCATGCTTCTGTGGATGGAAAAGGGGCCACAGGTTAAACCTGGCAAGCTCAGAAGACTAAAAATAACCACATAAAATGGCATGAGCATAAAAAAATAAATAAATAAATAAAAATTCATGACTAAATGGGCCACGGAGGGAAGTCACACATCAACTTCCTTCATTAAGTTAATCTGTGCCTTTTCAGTGGGCCTGTTTGTTGTCTTTTTGTACCTAAGATAACATCTTTAATCCTTTTACCCGACCAGAGCTGGAAACTGCAAAATTCCTTATTATTATGCTTGTTTCCTGATTAGTCTGTGCTGTAAAAAGCAAACTGTTAGCTGTCCTGCACCCACCTATGTAAAAGAAGTGCCTGTCTCTCCAATGTACTTTTATCCAAAACCCCAGACATTTCCCCGCTTTGCTTTCTCCCACCCCCTTAATCTATCACCAGTGGATTTTGTGTAACCTTCCTCCTTTGATTTTATGTATAAAATAAGCTGTTTGAGCATTTTCTCAATCCGTTCAGATTTTGCTTCCAAGCAATTGTCGACAGCTTGGCTCAAATCAACTCTTACAAGTTTTCTCTGAGGCTGGATGTTTTTCGTCCACATCACTAATACTTGTTTTAAAGACTATATTTACGGTATATTTTATAACTGATATTTAGCTGTTATTTTTTTAAATGTTAAATTTGCTCACCAGATCTGCGGATGTGTACATTTCAGCCACTAACTGGCAATACCCTAATTAAATGTTCACAAATCTCAAACACGCTTAAAAATGGAAGGAGAAGGAAGCAAGTGTTTTAAGCATGATTCCTAATCCAGACTTGGTCCCGCAAAGCATCACAGTTTCCCTCTCCTGAATGTGGATTGCTGTGATATTACTAGTAATAAAAATAGCTAATATTTATTGAACTCTTTCTAAGGGCCGGGCGCTGTTCTCCCCCTGCCCCCCGACCCTTCACCAACAACCGCATGAGGTAGGTAGCTCTCCAAGACTCATTTCGAGATAGGAAGCTGATGGACAAAAGGCTAAAGAACTTGCCCACGGTCACTGTTAGTAAATGGCGGAGTAAAACCCACGCAATCTGGCTTCCAGGGTCCCCAACATTAAACTGCTACGCGATGGCTCCCCGCCTACCACCAAGCCCGCGAGGACCGGAACAGAAGCCACAGCCCATCTCAGCCTGTTTGAGGCTAGTCGGCCAAAGGTGGCCCCGCGTGGCATAGGAAAGGTGACTTAAAAAATTTTCCATCGTATAGTGTTAAAACCAAATTATTTTAACAGGAATATGTATTTAAGAATATCAAACTACAAGCGCACCCAACTCAGAAATAGCCGCTGAAAACTTTCAAGCGTTCCCGGGGACAGTGGACGGCGGGCGTGGAGGAGGCGCCTCCATTGGCCGGCCCCGCGGCATCATGGGAGCTCGTCGTACACTGAGGGCGCCCGCTTTCCACGCACCTGCGCAGCGCTCCCGGTTGGCTCTTTAGAAGGAACTCCTGAGGAGTCCGGGGTTTCGCTTTCCGCAACCAGCTCTCTTGTGGAAGGTCGATGTTCTCGGTGTAAACGCGGTGCTGCCCTAAAGTGAGATCCGTGGGACTCCACTCCTCCCCTGCCAGCCCGGAACCACAAGTTGGAGCACCGCGTTTCCTGATTGCCTCATTGGCGACCACTTCCGCCCAGGGGGTCTGGAATACCCGAGACCCTTTAGTGGCGAAGAACAGGAAAGGCACTTCCGGTACCTGTTGCCAAGGCGCCGGCCCCGTGGGCCTAAAGGAGCGACATTATTGGCGTCGTCCTCTCCCCCCTTCCCAGGGGTCGAGATGTCGGGGCTTAGCTACCCAGAGAGAGAGGGCTGTCGTAACCTGCTTGGCCTACTGGACAACGACGAGATCATGGCCCTATGTGACACTATCACCAACCGCCTGGTGCAGCCTGAGGACCGCCAAGGTAAGGATAGACCCTTCTCCCCAAGGGCGGACGTCCCTCCCCAGGCCTCACCTGGCTCCCAGGTTGCGGGAGCGTCGGGGTGGAGGAGGTGCGAGGCCTCGCCTCTGACCTACCCGGGACCGCGCTGGGGCGGAGCCCTGGGGAACCTCGGCCGCCGCCGCGACGCAGCCTCCGGCGGTCCCGCTGCGCCTTGCCCGGCGGCGGTGGCTTCCCGGAAAACGGCGCTACTCCCAGGTTTTATCCATTGAGTGTTAGAGACAAATGCTTGTTTTGAGGATTCAGAGTACGTGAATAGTTATTAAAAAAAATAAATTTCCGGGGAACCAGGGTGTCTTCGTTTTGTTTCGATCAGCTGAGGCGTGTCAGCTGCTGCTCAGGCATTTTTCATCAAGCTTCGAGGAGGATAGCAAACATTTTGTTATCAGTCTCCTAGGTAAAACAACTAATGTAATAAAAGCAGGTAGTTTGAATCTATTTCTTTTTTTTGGACCTAGATTTTTTTACTGAGATGATTTCGTGTAGTAGGAATAGATTACTTTCAGAGCCAAATAAACATTTCAGTAGAACAAATTTCAAGTGTTATTAATATTCAGCCTAAATCCATATAAAAATGCAATGAGTAGCTTAAACGTTTATTTCATTTTGTATATCACCTGGCTAGTTTTATTTTAAACGTGCTGGATTTTACTTTAAACTGTGAAAAGTATTAGTATATGACTTATCCACAAGATTCTGCTTTTAAAAACTGTTTCTCTACTTATAAAGTCAAAGATACATTGTTGCCATTTAAGAAAATCTCTCATTTGAAACTTCGAACCATGAACATTAAAAGAAGAAATTCCTGAGCATTTGGACTGAAAATAGTTTTAGACTTAATGTAATTGTTCAGCATTTATATAGTTTATATGCTAATCACCTCTAAAGACGAGGTGAATGAATTTAAACTTATAATAGATCAAAATGCTGGATCTAATTGATGGATCTAAAAACAGGTAAGAAAAAGAAACTTCCCAGTACAAAACTATTAAAAGATTTGAAGACGTTTCTCAGAGAGGAAAAAAATTAATAAACATTGAAAAAGGAACTTTAGAAAGCAGTGAAATGAAAACCAAAACACACGGTCTTTTCTGTTACCAGATTGACAAAAAACTGAATGTATAAACTTCAAGTGCTGGTGATCATGTAAAGCAACCTTTTGACAACTGCTGGAGGAGTGTAAATTAGAACTGCCAGTTTGGAAAATGTTTGACATTATCTCCTGAAATGGAAAATTTGCTTACTTCTACACACATATTCTATATGTGAGCTTCTCAAACTTGAATGTGCCTATGAATCACTCAGGATCTTGTTAAAGTGCGGATTCTGGTTCAGTAGTTTTGGGGTGGGCCCAGAAATTCCACATTTCTAACAAATTCCTAGGTGATGCTCATGCTGCTTGGCCCTCTATGCACGGGGAGACATGTATGAAAGTAATAGTGTTTATAATTGGATACACAGTAGAAGTCTATAAACAAGGATCGGCACCTTGTGATATATAGGCATATAATTAACTATGGTACAACAGTGAACATGAATTAACTAGAGCTGCATATATTCACATCGATTAACCTCAGAAACAAGATTAAGGGAAAAGCTGAATATAGAAGACTACATTGATGGATTGAATTTATAGAATATTCAATACCAAACTGTATTGTTTAGGGAAATATAGTTACGCTGTACAACTATAAAGAAAAGCAAGGGAATGATAAACAACATTTAGGATAATAGCTACCTGTAAGATGAGTGGGAAGAGAGAGGGAATAGTGTTAAGTAGGGAGAGGTAAAATGATGGTCTCAAAGATATTAGTAATTTACTATGTCTATACTATTGGGAAAGTCATGACGCATTTTTGCATTGAAAAACATAGAAAAATACATCATGACTTTCTGACGACCCAATAATTACTATTGTAGTATCTTCAAAGATATTAGTAATTTCCTGCATGGAGTGTACATGGGAGTTCATCATATTGCTATGCTGTATACCTTATACATTAAAAATAATTTTTGGTCTGTTGTTTAATATAAAATTTTTTTTAATTAGAAATATACAAGTCTGGGTTCTGCCACTTCTTAAAAGTAAAATTGTTGATACCTCATGGACCCTCAAGTTTCATTATCTGTAGAATGAAGAGATTGAACCAAAAGTCCTTGTGCATCTAAAATGTTGTAATTTTACCCGTTTTTAGGTATTGTAATTGAATTTAGGTCCATTGGCCTTATTAGAGAAAAACAATTTTTTCTCTGGCTGGCTCAGATTTTTTTCTTAAACCATGCTTTAAAAGAAAATGCTAAAATTTTACTTCAACTTAAGAGAAGTGAAAGGAAGAGGGAATATTAGGGAAGTTTAAAGCATAAAGAAAATTTTTTTAAAACGCCAAACCTGACAACCCACTTACTGGTTTTTTGTTTTTGTTTTTGTTTTTTCATTTTTTCATGCGGGAGTCGAACCGGCAACCTTGCTGTTAAGAGCGCACACTCTATCTACTTAGCCATCTGGGCGGTAGCTCAGCTCAAGGTGTCGAGTTCTGTCCCAGCCACGGGTGGGCATAGCCCACCATCTAACAGGTAATCTTGTCGTTAGGAGCATGTGCTCTCACCAGCTAAGCCATTCTGCCATGTGTTGGCAGCTCAGCTCCAGCGAAGCTCACTGTCCCATGTGGGAATTGAACCAGTGACCCTGTTGCTCAGAGCTCTTTTCTCTTAAGCAAAGGCTTAACCAACTGAGCCACTCGGCCGGCCCACCCACTTACTGTTTTTTAAAAATGATTACCATCTCAAGCAAAAGCAGTAATGCCATGACAAGAATTCATAAATATTATTTGGTGGAGTTTCTGCTGACCCTAGACAAATTTACAAGTGACTCATGATTTTTTTAATGTTTACAATTTCCTTCTAGATGCTATTCGTGCAATATTAGCATACAGTCAAAGTGGAGAAGAACTTCTGAGGCGTAAAAAAGTCCACCGAGATATCATATTTAAATACTTGGCATCACAAGGGGTTATTATACCTCCAGCTACTGAAAAACACAGTCTTATTCAGCATGCAAAGGATTACTGGAAAAGGCAATTACAACTGAAATTGAAGGAAACACCAGAGCCAGTTAAGACCTCTCAGGACATTAGACTCTTTCAACAGGTAAAATAGATTTTATGATTATATCCTGAACCATAGTTCTGTCTCTGACTCTTTAGATAAAATCCTAGATCTGGGGTAACATGGTTAATATATTTTTAAATAATTTTAGCTTTACTTCATATCTTTTGCATCCTAAAGGAAGACCACCAGTAAAGCATAATTTCAGTAAGAAACAGTAAGAAAACAGTAAGAAACACAATTTCTGACATTTAGCAATGTATATGAAATATTCTGTTGATTTGTGAGGGAAAAAAAGTTTTTATATCCTTATCAAGTGAGGACTGTTATGTTTTTAAAGAAGGTGAATAGACTGCAGGATCAGTTTAATTTTAATTTAGCCTCTAGATCTCTAAATTTTTTCTACTTTAAAAGAATGCTATTTAAGGCTTTCTTTGACATTTTGAAAACTTTCTTTTGTATTAAATCTCAAAAATTCCATGAAAGAAACTTAAATATTTTTTACATTAGGTTTTTTTCTTTTTTTTTAATCTAGGAAAAAATTCTGTTGTAATTTCCTCCGGCTGACATTGGCTGTTCCTATTTCCTTATACCTCCACTTTACATTGTATCAATATTTCAATATTGATTGAATGAATTTCTAGGTCATTGACACATTTTTAAACTATATACCACATACTTTGAATTTATGTGTTTTACAGTGAGAATTATTTGCCTTTACATTAGGAAAGGATCTTCTAAGGGCTTTCTTAATGTACCACTGAAAAGAACGTTGACTTTGAAATCATACAGATGCGACTTCAAATTAGGTTCTGTGACATACTAGGTGTGAACTTGTGCAAATAATTTGACCTTCTTGAGCCCTCTTTTCTTTCTATATAGAAGGAAATATTAGCACTTAAGTGCCAACCACAGAGCTCAGTATATTCAATAGCAGATGCTCAGTAAATATAAGATCTCATGCCATATAAATGAGATATTATGCTATGGAATAAATAGATGAATAAAAATCTAGCTTATCAGATATAGTTTTGCAATAACATTTTCTTTGAAGTAAAACAGATAATAGTGTAAAATTTATCACAATCATAGGAAATAACCTATTTTAAACATATTAGAAGTATATAGTGAAAATGATTATTGTCAACTTCTTGTGGTATGATTCATATGCTGCAGAATATATCCATTTAAAGCATGTAGTTTGAAGGTTTTGACAGATTTTCTTTCACACCTGTGGAACCATTGCCACAATCAGGAGAAAATGCTTTACAAAAGTTGTTACTAACTGTTCATGTTGATATTTTAAGAGGCTTTGTTAAACCTTAATTTCTTAGCTGAATTTCTAGATGTTTAAGCTGGGAAATTGGAAAATGATTTTTCCCCTTTTTGCCGAAAGAATTTACTATGCGTGATGAGTTCAGTGAATTAACATGTAGTTCATTCCCTTCTGCCTATAAGCAGTACATTAAAACTTAGTACTGAAACCAGCTATAGAATAATAGATACGAAAATTAACCTCGGTTTTATTTTGTATTTATCTTAATCAGCAGAAGAAAGAAGATAAAGCTGAAAAAGTTGATTTTCGTCAATTAGGAGTACAGTTCTGTCACTGGTTCTTTGAACTTCTTAATTCTCAGAATCCTTTTCTGGGACCACCTCAGGATGAGTGGGGGCCACAGCACTTCTGGCATGATGTCAAGCTTAGGTTTTATTACAACACATCTGAACAAAATATGACAGAGTACCATGGGGCAGAAATTGTGAGCCTTCGTCTGCTATCACTAGTGAAAGAAGAATATCTTTTTCTCAGTCCCAACCTAGATTCCCATGGACTAAAATGTGCTTCTTCTCCCCATGGCCTAGTTATGGTTGGAGTTGCTGGAACCGTCCACCGAGGGAACACTTGTTTGGGCATTTTTGAACAAATATTTGGACTCATCCGCTGTCCTTTTGTGGAAAATACTTGGAAAATCAAATTTATCAACTTGAGAATTATTGGAGAGGCTTCCCTTGCTCCTGGAACATCAATGAAACCAGCTATAACATTTGAAGCAAGTGATCTAGAGGCCTTTTATAACACAATCAGTTTATGTGGTACCAAAGAAGTATGACATAATGCAAGGCAGGCATTGGCTGGATCTGGAGACCAAGCTTTATGTAGTGGGAATGAGGCATTGTTGAACAAGAGAACTGAGTTTAAGTAACCCTCTAAAGCTTTGAGCACTGTATGTCAGTCTATACAGAAACTTTCCCAAATACTACATAAGTAATGTCTAAGTGGTTTCAGATGTGAGGATTGACATTTTAGTTGAAATATCTTTTTTGACTACAGACTAACATATTACATGAATATTTGCCTCTTTCTACCTGAATTGCAGCAAATGTTATTCTAAGGGCTTAATGCAGTTCATCAAATAAATCTCACTTTAGATGTTATAAACAGTGTGCCTTAGAAACCAGGTAATGTGTTCATTTTACTGTAAATATTCTGCACATGTGTGCACTTTTCATATGGGGAAAGAGGAATAGTGTTCAAGGTTTCCCCTTGTCAAGGTTTTCGTTTACTTTCACCTAAACCTGGATAATTTTGCAAACGTATCTCGTGCCAGTATTGTTTTTAAAAAGTGCATATTTTAGAGATATTTAAACTCAAAGTTCTTATTTTAGAAAACTTGGATAACATTCTTAATGCAAAAAGTGCAGTAATTTAGCAGATGGAGAAAAATGTACTTTGCCTTTTTAAAATTTGAGGAACATTTTCCAGTTATCTACTGTAGTCCAAGCTGAATATCTTATAATCTGCAGTATTTTCTGAACTGTTTTGGGCAACGATAAGTGCTATTCTCAAAACAGACTTTATTCTTATCTAAGGCTTCAGCTGACAACTTTTATAGAGCATTTATTGTAACACCATATAATGAAACATTCTGTTCACATTTTTTTAAAAGTTGTGCCCAGTTCCTGACTCGTAATTGAATTACTGTTTTTCCTCTTGATCTTGGATGAGGTGATCAAAAAGGAAAAAGAACACAAATTTATAATGTGAGCATACATATATACATACATATGCATATAGTCCCACATCATAAGTTAAAATTATCGGGATTTTTTTCACCTCTAATTTGTTTTACTAGGTTTGAGTTATGAAGTAAAGTTACCAAACTAATTACATAGTTGCTTTAAAGTTTAAATTTCTCATCACCCAGCAGCTACTTGCTGATCCTGGATTTAGTTTGTGATTTTAATTTCCAAAAATGCCATTTGGAAGAAAATTCAGCTGGGAAATGTGATTATGTATTGTACATGTTAACTGTTTGCCTTTAACTGGGCTCGTGATTGATCATCTAGGGTGACTGAGAAAGGATTTTGGAAACAGGAGGGAAAAAAACTCTTGTTTAATGCCAGGCATCTTATGAGGAGTACAAATTGATATATCCAAAAATAAAAATAAAGGAAGGAAATCCCTTTTGTCCGCCTAAGAATAGTGTATTGTTTAGATTTAAAGTCACATTTTCTTAATTTGGAAGTGTCATTATAACATGTAACCGATAAATATCCTAAGTAAAGGATGAATGAAAAACTTCCCGTTTGTTTTCTTTGTGCTATTAATGTCAAGTACTGCAGAAATATTACTACAGATACTCAGGATGGGCAGAAATTGCCTGTAGCTATCCTCAATATTGAATTTTTGAATTCATGTAATGCTCAAGTAAAACTGAAATCTCTGCATGTTCTTTTTCTTTTAATCACTCTTAGCAACTGAAAATCTTCCTGATGGACTATATCTCTTGAGGATTGGATCTGTTTTATCTCCTGTGAATCTCCGCAGATGGGCATACCATTTCACCAAATGGGTGAAAGAATGAGCCAAAGAAGCTTACATTTTGTATAACAGACCTGTGTCTAGATTTTGTCTTTGGTGCTTCTCATCAGTGGTGATTTTTTTGATCATATCATCTTTTGAGTTTTATACATGGATACACAGTAACTTTTAGGCCCTATACTCAGATTTGGGCAAAATTTTAACTTTCCTTTAAAATTTCCTGAATTTCAGAAACCCGAGGTCAGAGTGGGATATACTAGGAGGGCCATAAGGCTACCTAGAAACTATTATAGGGTAAGTGTGTATTTCCCTGTTTGGAGAAAGAGGACCTGGAGGAACTGAAATTGGTTCACGAAACTTAATGCTTGGTCAGGCCTCTGAGAAGACGCAGAAGCACGGTGCAGAGTGAACTCGGCTTTACTGCTACCCACTGCTCTGTTTATATTAGCCAGTGGCACAGACCCCACCTGAGCCTTAGGTCTCTTGCTTCATTACATTCAGGTGCTACTTGGAAAGCCCATGGAGGCCAGGGTAAAGAATACAACGTTCTACACATAATTCATAGTAATTGGGTGGTCAAATCCGGGGGCACCTGAGGTTTATCTGTAGGCTGATTTGCTGTAGCCTAATCACAGGGTATACATCAGTATCCTGTTTGGCGATAAGAAAATAAAAATATTAATGCAATAGTTATATCGGGATGTTTTATTAGTACCTACAATGCCAAAAAATATATTATGTGTCTTATTAACTAACAATACCAAACAGAAAAAGGCCACCTCTTTTAAATCTACTTGCAAATGGCAAATACAAGTCAGGAAAATGTTCCTTGGTTTTCAGAATGGTAACAGTTTTATGCTGGTTATCTACCCCCAGTAAAAAACTGTGATAGCACAGAAAAGGATTTAAAGAATGGTTTAATTTCTTTTTAAAGCTAATGAGAAATATGGTGTTTTAACAAATGGTTCTTATGGCTAAGTAGATCATAAACATGAATGAAAATCATACCTAACATTTTTCTTAGTGTCTATTTGCACAAATTGAGATGCCACCCTTTTTTTTTTTTAATTGTTGGGGAATTAGAGAAGGGGAACAGTGTTGAGGAAGGGAAACAGCCAAGTTGTCCTCCAATCTTGGTTGTGGATGGCGCAGCTAGCTCAGTTCCCAAGTCCAGTTGCTATCCAGCCGCCCATTGGCAGCTCAGCTCAAGGTGCCGTATTCAATGTTAGTTGCGGGTGGGCATAGCCCACCATCCCATACAGGAGTTGAACCGGCAACCTTGTTAGGAGCATGCACTCTCAACAGCTGAGCCATCCTGCCACATGTTGGCAGCTCAGTGGCACTCAGCTCGGGCACAGCTCACTGACCCATGTGGGAATCGAACCGGTGACCCTGTTGCTCAGAGCTCGCACTCCTAACCAATTGAACCACAAGGCCAGCCCTAGATGCCTTTTTATTCACTGGTTCTTAATTTGAATTGTGTGTGTATGGGCGGGAGGTGTGTGTGTGTGGGGGGACATAGACCTTTTGAAAAATGAGTACTCCTGTGCCTCTGCGGAAGTCCCTAAGCTAGAGTAATAAACCCTATGAATGATCACTAGAAAAATCCGTTTATGATAGTTGTTAACTTGTGAATCTTGTTTGTTAAAAGATATCAGATATTAAGACAACCGACTAAAATACTGTCAAGTGAAACAAAAATTTATTTTGACAAGATGAATTTAATGAATGAATATGCTTGGGAGAAAGTGATAAAAATGTGAAAAGGAAAAGTATTTTCAAAAATACATTCTCAAGACCTTCACAAAAACTATCCTAAGAAGATGTTTATTTAATAATGATTGTATATTGCTAATTCTATGAAGGATTTTAAAAATATGAATATTTCCTCTGAAGGGAATGTGATCTGCTTGTACACCACTTCCTCTCACTTCTCTCCTCCCCAACATTATTCATAACCTTTTTTTAATAGCCAGTTGGAAGGCAGATGGCACAGCTGCAGTGCTGGGAAATAGGACTTTCTGAATCTTTGTTCTCTTTTGGAATATATTTATTGAGCATCTACAATTTGTAAGTCGCTGAATCAAGTGCAAGATAAAATAATCTATTAATACGTTATTTACCTAAATTTATGTTGAATTCAAATCTCAATGTCTGGGTTTAGATAGCTTAAGGTGATAACTACTTTAGGCCCTTGGTAGAAGGATTCAGTAATATTGTCTTACGTGGTTAGAACAATAAAAAACATTTAATTATAATTTTAAATAGTTACATGGTTCTAGCTAAGTCAGATTTTATCAGTACAGATATAAAATTTTGACATCACTTTAGAGTTGGATTGAAATATTTCAGAATTGTAGAAGAGTGCACTAAATTTTTAGCTTTATTTTTTTCTAGTTTGAACCTTTGCAACAGTCTTAGTAAAACAATATTAAAATTGTAATATTTACTGTGAGTCATAATGTACCTCAAAATATTAAAGCAGGAACTCCAGAATTACTTGTTAGAATCATGGGCCTAGAATTTGGTACCCCCTAATTTCTGTTCTCAGTACTGCTAAATTTAATTTCCCTTTTTAGTGAGTCATTTAGTGAGGGTTCTTTGGTTAGCAGTTTTCATCTTCAGTTTTTAGACATCCTTAATCTCAAGTATGAAATTAGTCACATTGAATTAATTTAAGGATTGAAGGAACCCCCCCCCCCACTTCCCATTACCAAATTGTGTTAACTTGTCCGATGTGATGTTTTCTGAACAAAAAATAACTACTTAGGAAAACCTTTTTTTGGAAGCACTTAGTTGTATAAGTTTGCATTAATGTTTTTCATCTCTCATCTTTTACTATACTAATGGTTAGTACCAACACTTAATTGTTCTCAAATCGTTGCATGTAAGTTACTATTGCCTCCCTATTGTACATAGATGGTAAATTCCCAGAACTGGTGATTATTTATTTTCTCATGTGCCTTGCACAGGATATATAATAGCTAAAATTTGGGTGCTTTTATATGCCAGCTACTTTTCTGTGCACATCATGTGCATTAACTCACTCAATCCTGTGGACAGTTGAATGCGGTAGATATCATTATCCTTCTTTTACCAGAAAACAGGGTTGAGTAACTTACCAGTTTTTTGGAGCTAATGGTAGTAGAGACTAGATTTAAACCCAGTTATTAAAGCCTGAGAGCTTTGTAACTACTACACTATATTGCCTCTTATATGTAGTAGGTTTTTGATGAATCCTTTTTGACTAGTTGTCTTCAATATGAAGGTCGTCACTTGCTGGCACTTATTTCCAAAGCAAAGATGCCTTTATTTTGTATTGTTTATGTAAATACAGAGTGGGAGTGTAAATGCATACTATATCCTCTTGTAATGATACTAAGTTGCTCCTTTAGTGATTTAAAACCGCTTGGAGAAAGGATAAAGAATGTTCACGAATGGTAATATTAGGAAAAAGAAAAATGGTAATTGGGTAATATAAAAATATAAGTAACAATTTATAATAAATTTTTTTTCTTTTTTTCTTTTTTTCGCTGCGCCATCCTGCCACCTGTTGGCAGGTCAGCAGCAGTTCAGCTCAGGCCAGGAATTGAACTGGCGACCCTGTTGCTCAGGGCTCACACTCTTGAGCGAGCTCTTAACCAACTGAGCCACTCGGCTGGCTCAGTATATTAAATTTCTTGAACTCACTGTCTCACCACAATCTCTAGTCCCCTTCCTGTTAATGGACCCTTGTGCTTTCAGCCTTGGATCAGTCTGTTTCACACGTTCAATTTCTTGCCACAGCTGGATAGAGCATATCTAGAGTATTGTTTTTTTATTTCAGCTGCTGCTGTAATTAGACTCTTTACAGAAACATACATTGTTAATACCATTAAGGGGCTTTTCCTTGATTTTAGGTGCCTTGTTCAAGTGGTATATCTACTCTCTCCACCATCTTGAAGAGACATCCCTCCAGGTCCATAATATGAATTGTAATGACAAGGAAATCAGGTTATTTTAAGACTGCATGACTCTTGTGCAAATGGCTCAGTGCTACCAGGCTTCATTCCCTTGCCCCTTTCCCAATCTTATTTCCTTGGCTTACTGAAGAAACATAATATATTTGGGGTCTTATTTAAAGCCACGCCCAAATACTGCAACTTAGTATGAAGGAATACTTTCCTGAGCTAAATGCAAAGGACAGGTTGGAAATCCATTTAACACCATCTGTGGGTAGATTCTTCTTTTAGTGATTCTGGATAAGATTATTGTGAGAGAGTATATGAATAAAAAAAAATATGTGGATCAATAAAAAAAATGAGTTCTGGGGTCGGCCGAGTGGCTCAGTTGGTTAAAGAGCTCGCTGAAGAGTTTGAGCTCTGAGCAACAGGGTCCCCGGTTTGATTCACGGCCCGAGCTGAGCTGCCGCTGAGCTGTCAACAGGTGGCAGGATGGCTCAGCTAAAAAAAAAAAAAAAAAGAAAAAAATGAGTTCTGTAACTCACATGCGTATTCTTACAACACCAGAGCAATGAGCAGCTTCCTTTTTCTATATGTACATAATAATATAGAACAGAATTGTGGGGGGAAAAACTGCTTATATATCATTCTTGGGTTCAACAAGTTGTTCACTAAAAGCTTATGCTGAGCCGACTTTATATGCTGGGTTTTCTTTGTTGTTTTTTTAGCAGTAACCATCTTTTCACACAAGCAATTTAACAGAAAACATCACCTGCATTTATTTTAAGCAAGCATTCAATGCCCTTATTTTCTGTCCTT